ACACACACACACACACACACACACACACACACACACACACACACAAAGGGGGTCCGAAATCCCCCGACAGGTGAGTGCGCTGGGGGGGGCCGGCCCCCAACCGGGTGCCCTGCCTGGCCAGGCCGCCCGGGACCTCCCCCGGGCCCCTGCCGGTCACCTGGGCGGCCCAGATCCCCACTCAGATTTTTATTTTTTTCATTTTTTTTAACTAAATAGGTCCTTATGATCGTGGTTCCTTGTCCATTCTGAGGAGTGTCAGTCTGGTCCCGACCAGCAAGTTAAGAGGGATGATACATGTCGTGACCCTGTCTACGCTTCCTTCCGCCTAGGCCGGAGGACCGATGACCAGCATTGATTACTTCCTGAGGGATGATTGACTTGTCAGGTAGCCTGCATTTGTTTAGTTCCTCTCAGCCTCAGTGAGATCTGAGACTGTCGTACTGACTTGGGATTCAAGAGCGTAGAAGGACAGTGTCCATATTACAAAAAAAAAAAAAAAAAAAAAAAAAAAAGAGGACATTGTCTGAACATGGGGTCAGGTTGTTGTTCACTCTTGGCAAATCCCAGGACTTCCCTTTGGATGGTCGCAGTCCTTGTATGATTTGGTCAGTTGTAATCGACCTCCCAGTCAGACCTCTGTCATCCCTCCTTGACGCTCCCCAATGTTTCCATCTCAGCATGTTGTGATCTATCTTTCACCACCGCAGCCAGTCTTTGTATAAGACTATAAGTCAATCTTTTTTGTCCTGAATTTCACTGGTCTATTCTTAGCTGACAGTTTGTTCACACGCCATGAGCGTTGGATCTTAGGTTCCACCATTATGACCAGAGACAACCAGCCTTCCCTCGCTGTAATATCTCCGTCAATGGTCTGAGCGCACCTTGTCTTCCATATGCTCCACGGGTGCCACTTTCCTTAGTAACCGGAACTAGCCCGCCCTTCAACCGTTGAAGGATTTAGGGACGTTGATAGCCAGGAGGATGGAGATCAGGAGGGTAATGGGGGTTGGGGAGGCAAAGAGGGACACCCACAGAATCTTGACCCTATCCCGGATCCAGATTGGTTCAGTGCATGTTCGCAGTCAGTGAATTATATAAATGTTTGTTCTTACACATTTCACAGACCTAGGTGGTACTGTCTTCGCCCGAATAGAATTTCCAGTCACTGTATCTGGAGCAATTTTCAGTCCTTATGAGGCTTACGCAGTATTAATGACCTGGTGTTCCATTCAGGTGAAGATGATAGTAGGGTCTGAGTGTTTCCTTTGTCTCATGGAGCCACTGGTTTGCCAGTAATGCTGCATAGGCAATCAGGCACTGCATGCTGCAAATCGTTGAGGGTCTGTACATTTGGTGCTTTGCACATGGAATCTTGATCGTAAGGATAGGGTCTAGGTTGAGAATAACTTCTTCATCTATTGCTGATCTCCGGATTGGGGTCGTGAATCTGAAGGCATGGTTCATATCCAAGCTTACTTTGTAGTCGGTTAATGTTAACAGGATAGTCTTCTTGTGTGATTTCTGTGTTTAAACTTTAAACTTTAAAGTCAGTCCCTTGGGTCAAATTCGAGGTCTACTATGCACTGACCAGGGTTATAAATAATCCAGGGCTTTGGGTTGATACTTGCACTTTCCTGGGCACGAACGAGTCAAGGACCTCTGCTTCTGGGTTGAGGTAGAGAATCTCCAGTTCCAAACTTCTTTTCGACTGAAAATGCTGTACCCAGGTTGGGATGAAAAATCAGGAGAATCCAATCCGCTGGTTTCCACAATGGGTTTGTGGGTGGATACTCGGTACTTTTTGGCCAGGAAAGAGTCGAGGACCTCTGCTTCCAGGTTGAGGTAGAGAAACTCCTGTCCTGTCTGTTGTGATTGGAGATGGGGAGAGAGTCAAATCTAGCCTTATAGCCTGTGGAGGGTAACTTTTTTTATAACTGAAACATGCTAGCTGGATTGGGATGTGGAATCAGGAAACCCCACTCCCCTGGTTTCCATGTGAAATCCTGCCTCGGTGGGTCGTTCCAGCTTGCGGAATTCTTTTCTGAATTGCCGTGAGGTCTTCAGCCATGAGATGGCAGCCTTTTAAGGTGAACTTCAGTTCCCATCTCTTAAGTTCATCGGACCACAGATGTTATCCTCGAGACTCCCCTTTTCGCCCAAGAGAGCCATCTATGGTCACAGGAGGTCAGTGACAACGGAAAGCCTGAGNCGCCCAAGAGAGCCATCTATGGTCACAGGAGGTCAGTGACAACGGAAAGCCTGAGGCGTTGTTATCCAGGGGTTGCAGAGTGGCGGCTGTCTGGGTACTTCTTTGTTGCGCTGCTTGCCGTGTATTTTGGGGAGTAGTTTGCACCAGGCTTTTGTGGATTGACACCAAGTACGGGAGTGGTTGGGGAGTGGTCGGGCTAGTCATGGGGTGCCAACTCCGTGTAGTCTCTCATGTTTTTTTTGTCCATCCTTTGAACATCACCCAAAAGTTTCCTTCCACATGTTGGAGGTGGTCTTTGTAGGGGATACTTGCCGTATGCTGTAGAGCGTCCGTCTGACCTGGGATATGGGTTGGTGGAGTTGCAGCTTTATCACCCATTTCAAGCGTGATTCCGACCCAGGGAAGGGGTTGTTTGAGCAGTAGCTTGATCACCCATTTCATTTGGAGGGTTATGGCCTCATATCTCAGGAGGACACGCAGGTTCGTGATGATGTACGACCAAGCCGCCTTGTTGATGCAGCCTTGCTTACTTGGATTGCCTGTCCGTTCAAGCAGCATCTCGCTCGGGCCTTCAGAGTTTTCAGGTCTTCGTGGGGGGGGGGAGACCAGATCGGAGCCAGATACCAAAGGGTGGAATCCACTGAGGTGTTGATGATCAGTCCCCTTCCTACAAGAGAGCCTCACGCCTTCTTGCAAGGACCAAGGTGAAGTATTGCTTGACTATCAGGCTCTGGCGCATGTCATGCCATGTTTCCTCCTTGGTAACCATGATGCCAAAATAGCGAAGCACCTGCGCCCTTCTGGACCAGGAAAGGCGAGCCGTGATTCCTGCTGGTTGGGGTGGGATCTCGTTTGCTAGCCACCATCTTTTTCTTTTTAAAATTTTCCTTTCCTTTGTTTTCTTTAGCTGTCGAAATGACGACGACACTTCACATAACCTTCAATATCAGCACTCAAGCCAGAACCATGTACGCCATCAACAAATATCCATGCCACCGAGACACACCAAGATAGATGAAGAAGAAGAAGAAGAAGAGGAGGAAGAGGAAGAGAAGTAAGACGATCAAGTCAATGAATCCGGAACGCGACGTTTACAAAAATAAGCGTGAAGAACGTTCCGAATGTGAACATCCGGTTGGCGAGCGACCCGACCGGTTTCTGCTGGCCGCCAATGCCAGCACTCATCAGGGGTCTGTCGGTATGGAACTGTACTGACTGATCCTATTTAAAAGAACTAACCAGGGGTCTAGGAAGTTCCTAAAAAACTAGAACAAAAAACTTCTAGAAACGTCAAAAGAATCTAGCACCGCTAGTAAAAGTAAAAGTAAAAAATATAAAATATAAAATAAAATATAAAATATAAAATATAAAAGTAAAAAAATAAAGGTAAATCCAAAAACAGTGAAAATTGCAGATCCTCACGTCCCTGGTTCAAGGCCATAAACACATGCGCAGCTCCTTCGCCACAGAAAACACCGACAACACAACGTCCGGAAACTTGTCATCCTCAGCTAAATCCTAACCGGCTCAGACAGCAAATCCCACTGAATCATAACAACACTATAACCCGCCACATCGTTCCACGAAGCTTCAAGTTTACCTTACCACTTTACGACAAACATCCGGTCTCACTAACCCATCTGACATCAACAGTTCAAACTTCAAACCCAAATCAGCAAAGGTACACGGGGACCATGATCCGACATCTGAACTAATAACCAGTGAACATCACCACCTCACTTACCATACCCTTGAGATATCATCATTGAATGATTGAACTGACTGGCCCCAGGTAAGACAGACTAATTTTAATTGCAGCGGGGTCTGTATTTCAACAGTTCATGGGTGTACCGTACCACCATTTGAGCTAGGCTTGTTTGTGGCCACCATCTTTCTGTCTTTGGGCAGGTCACTTTCATCTTGGGTCACCGTGCCATTCTGACAAGTCAAAAGGTTACATAGAGAAACTCATGTTCCCTCATGTTCTTTTTAGTGCTTGATCTGATTATGGCAAATAAAAATTTAGATCTGAATTCATTCAGAGTGCAGTCAGTCATCATTGCCCTAATCCGTAAGCCTCACAGTTCTCAGTGTCACCAGTCCCCCCCAGCTCGTCATTTGCTGATCGCATTATGTCATAGACTCGTAGTAGAAATTGCTTGTGGGGTCCATTTGCAGAAGGGGATTCTGCGAATTGGACTTCTAGCTCTAGTTCCTCCTTTGCTTTTCTCTCGGTGGCTATGCTCCCGGACTGCACTGAAACTGTTGGAGACAGATCAGTGTAGCCAACTCGAAACCATTGACGCCCGTCTTTGTTGCTTGCTGGCTCGTGTTTTCTTTTTCTTTTTCTTTTTGTTCCGTCATAAGGATGCATTTTGCAATTTAGGCCCAGGACGAGTTTCAGCCAATCACGTTTCTTGGTATCGTATATTTGACTGCTTGTATGCTGATTGGTCCACTGCCTGTGTGATGTGCGGATCTGGTCACCACTCACTGAATTTAATTTCACTCTCAGTCTCAGGAATCACTGTGATGGAAGACGGAAAAATGATGGCAGAATTAGGTTCCTTCAACTTCCATAGTCTATATGTGATGTCAGTGCTTGTCGGCTGTCTGTTGCTCCCGCTGCATGTGTGATGAGCTGATTTGTTCATTACTGCGTAGTGCATCTGTTTTGCTCTCAGGAATCGCTGGGAATGAAGAGGGAAAGTTGGTGGCACAAGCTGGCTCCTAAGACTAGTATTTGGATGCTGCAAGTTGTCAGTGCTTTTGTCGCCTCTTTGCTAGTTTTCCTTTTGAGAACAAGGCCATTCAAGGTGCTACAGCTCAGATCCATGTTCCATTTATTTTTAAGCACTTTTGAGAAGTTTTGACATGACTGTTCTTCTTCTTCTTCTTCTTCTTCTCCTTCTTCTGCTGCTGCTGGTGGTGGTGGTTGTTCTTTTGTTTCAGTGCTACTGCTGGTGCTGCAATCCTTTTTGTGTGCGCGTTTATTGTCAATCTTCTTCCTCTTCTTCTTCTTCTGTTTCCTCCTCTTTTACTGTACCGCCTCTTTCTCATCTTGTTTTCTTCTTTGGGGGAGTTGTTGTTCGTGGTTATGTCATCGCGGTGGCTGTTGCTCTCACTGGCACTGCTGTCAGTGGTTTGATAATGTACTTGTTGCGATACTGTGTTATGGTTGCATACGCCAGTGTGGGCATGACTGCGTGAGCAGGCGTTGCTTCGATTTGGCATTGTCCTTATGTTTAAGTTTGGTTGTTGGTTCCGTAAAAAACATTGTGAATGCTGTTGTTTTGCTGTTATGTCTCTCGCTGTGTCCGCAAAATTGCGGCATGTGCATGGGTCATCGGTTATGGTCATTGTTGTTGCTGTCATTGTTTTTGTCTGTCCTTCGTCTCCAAAACTTCTGTATGAACCCTCAAGCAGGTGATGGATATGCTGAGGGAGGCTGGACTAGGTTCTGGAAAAACAGATGGCGATGAAGGCCAGAATCATCAGCCACGTGAGATTGCCGAGGCACTATTGGGTGAAAGGAGAGCACTTCAAACTGCTCATGAAGAGGGAAGAAGAAAAAGCGAGAAGATGGAGAAAGCATTGGTAAGACAAACTTTCCACTTGTCACATTATCAATGTAAAGAAGCCAGGCTGCTTCGTTGTTAGAAGGGTTCATTCCCACAGTTAGAAGGGTTCATTCCCGTTTCAACAGATGCTGCGAAGGATATGATTTCGGACATATATTTACGTTCCCTTCGGCAAAGATTGCACTGCATAACATATTGAAGTCTTTGCTGTTTAGCGCTGACACCTTTACTCCCGGGTACTGGCAAGTACATCCTTGTGCAAGGAATGAGCCCTCGCAGGGCCCTTATCAGACATGCACATGTTCTGGGCAGACACCCTCAGCAAGCCCCGTGCCCGCCCTAAGTGAAGGCGGGCCTGAATACTCACCAGAGGCCAAATTTTGACATTTTCCATATGTGGGTACTCAGGCAGTTGCAGCACGCCAGCTAGTTGAGAGGAAGCGTGAAGCCTTCATGGGCTGCGCCGTGCAGTTGGGCCCAGGCCTTGGTAGTTGCGCCTGGGCACACACACATAATGCAAGGCAGATACATCACGAAGTGGCTACGGGCCTACGAAAAAGCAGCATTGTCGACGTACATACCCGGGGTCCTGTGCAAATGAAGCAAACTGCCCATGTCCGGAAGTCCTGGGCGTGCTCAACCGAAAAGGGCCCAGGCCCTTAACTGAAGAGCTGGGCCTGGGTGCAGGCACTGGGGGCCGACCGGAAGCTACTGGAAGCTTCCCAGCCAGGCCACACGCAGCCAAACAGAGGCTGCCTCTTCCATATAGGAGGAAGGGCAGCCAGGGTCTGGCAAGCTGGCCCATGCAGGCAATGCGGTCACGCTGCTGTGTTGCTGCGCAAGACGCTGCGTGCTGGGTCACAGCCAATTTGTAATACTTTTTTCCCACGTCTTGCGTGCTGCGCTAGTGGCCAGGGCGCATGCGGGCGTGTGAGAGGTGAGAGGGGCGCTTCTGGGCAGCGGAGCGCGAGAAGCCATAGCTGGGCTGCAGGGCGCTAGGGGGCAAGAGGGCGATCGGTGTTCTTCAGGGAAGGAGGCGAGTGTGTCGGTGGTCAGGGTCTGATGAGGGGAGACGAGATACGTACCTGGTACATGAGGGAGGTCGGCTATGGTGTTGACATCATGTATATTGGTCTTCAAAGTCGAAGTGAGCCTATTGCGTGACTGAGGATGTAGTAGGATAGGCAAGTAGTGTAGGCTGGGTGCTGGGGGCCAGACAGAGAGGAGCAACATTGGATATTGTGCTGGTGTGGCCATTGGCTCATGAGTTCATTGTATTGTTCTTATTTGGATGGAATCTTGGTGCATTTGTGCTTTGTGCTTGTACACGACTACTTGGACATCTGTGTGATTTTGCAACTTGGCTTTCTGTATATCGTTCCATAGCTACGATCCGGACGGCCGGACAGGGATCCGGACTGACCGGTGTCCGGCGTCCGGTCCAGGTTTCCAGATCCTGGTCCGGATGGTGGGAAAATGGGGGGTAGCCCAATTGTTTTTCAGGCAGCCCACTGGCAGGTCGTTTTCTTCCATTTTGGGCCGCTGTGGAAAAATGCTGGGCGTTTTTTTAAGATTTAACTGTGGCGTCCAGACAGGGCCGGACGGAGGCCCTAAGTTTTCTTTTCCCGCCCTGCACAAAGCAAACGAACTGTGCACTATCAGATGCCCCCGTATCTTCCGGGGATAGGCTGCTTAGTACATTACTAGTAATTTACTACATTTCCCCCCACGGCCCCCAAAACGAAGAAAGTCTGAAA